CCTAAATAACCTTCAAAGTACTGACTAAGCACAATAAATCACTACGAACATACATCGTACACGCCCCCCGGAAAGTTTACTGTATGACTGACTGACTGTTTCGTTTGAATTTTCCCCACCATCACAATACTGTGAAGTTTCGAAGAAACTTCACACTAAAAACGAGCGGGAATAAGGCGAAAGATACAGAACCTCTGGCAACCAGGGTATGACTTCAAAGGATTGAAACGAGACTATACCTCTGAGTTATTCAAGGCCTGAGTACTACTCGTCATTCTTGTGGTGGATGACACAGGTTATCATCCTCGTCTGCACTCATTCGATGCTTTATAAAGCGATGATGAAACCAGGATCAGTTTTCTGCAATTCATCACTAACACACATGGGCAGTGTTGGTAGAAGTCGAATCTTGTTCCGTCATGTACTGCGTTGCATTGCATTAATTTCCATTGCGTTGCATTGCACAAATTGTTATCCATTCATTACAATTCCCGATTTCTCCTCACAGCAACCAGGGCGACCAGAAAGGACGGGTTGTGTTCATAAAATGTCAAATTTAAAAACAAATTTAGCGCCAAAATACCCTAAATACTTTATGCACTTATCTCTCTACTAATTTAACACAGGGCGCTTTGGTGGGGTTAGCGCACTTGACTTTCACCTCTGAGCTCGCAGGTTCAAACCTCAGTGAGAACTTTCTCAATGCGACTAGACCCAAGCCTCACGCAAAAGATTAGTCAAAAGTCAACGCTCTGCCGAAAGTCGTGGACTTTCTCCCGGCATTCCGGATTGGGTGGGTTAGGCACATATATAGGTCAGGGGGCATTTACAACTGAAACATGCAGCGCGCGCGGCCAACCCACTCACCAATCTGATCCTTTGTCGAACTAATTCAACAAGACGTTGAGGCGAATTCAAACCACGCGCGCACCCACAGGGGGTCCAACTAAGAGCTGTGTTATGAATATGAATAAAACATTAATTAAACGTAATATGAATAAAACATCATAACGTAATATATTTAAATTATTGCACTTACTTGTATAAATCATAAGAGCTTGTATTTCCAGTGAATAGCTTTAAACAGGGCGCTTAATATGTTCAGAAATATTGCTTCGAAAGATTGTTCAAATATGGCGAATAAATTGACAAAACGAAAATATTACATGACGTTCCATCGAAAATAACAGCAGAGATTGCGGGCGCGCGAGCGAAAAGGCGAGGGAAGAAATCATAGGAAGAAATAAATAGAAGGGATGAAACAAATATCACGTGACTTTTTAAAATGCTTCTAGACTATCCGTTTAAGCTTTTTGTGGGGGTTTTAAGGCTCAGTCGATGTTCTCTTACGTGAACAAGCCTAGTCATTACCAAAAAAGCACTGATCAATCTAATTTATGTGATTTATAACAGCGAGCATTCTTGGCCATTATCGCGAGATGTGTTCCATAAGTAGCCTGTTCTCGTGACGTATGACGAAATAATAATAAAACTAAATAATGTAAAAAAAAACGTTAGTCGCTACATTTAAACATTTCATATTAGCCGGTATAGCTAAACATTGTTTATTTTCATTAATTAAGCGCGTAGGCGTTGTTGAAGTTGGCAGGAGGCGTTTTGGAATTTTCCGAGAGAACAGGCTACTTATGGAACACATCACACGATCGCATTACCGGTGTTTCATCCCTTCTATTAATATCTATTACCCTCGCCTTCCGCTCGCGCCCGCAATCCTTGCTATTATTTTCGTTGGAACGTCATGTAATATTTTCGTTTTGTCAATTTATTCGCCATATTTGAACTTATCTTTCGAAGCAATCATTCTGAGCATATATATATTGATATATAAGCGCTCTGTTTGAAACTATTCAGTGCAAAGGCAAGCTCTTATGATTTATACAAGTAAGTGCAATAATTTAAATATATTACGTTATAATGTTTTATTCATATTACGTTTAATTAATGTTTTATTCATATTCATAACACAGCTCTTAGTTGGACCCCCTGTGACGTGCCAGCGTTTACCAGGGCTATGTCGCCGCCTGCAGAAAAATTTTTTGGGATCACTTTAAGGCTTGGTTACCAAGCACTGAACTATATATGTTGATATGTGTAATGGACCACTGAACGTTACCTTTACTTTCTCTAAGTATATAGCTTATAAAGCAATAAAACGCAAACAGTAACACAATCTGACAAGTAACTGAATTTTATGATGGACACTAAAGTGCCTTATAATGGTTGTCTAATAACATATTGTGACATGAGTGAGGGGGTCTTCTTTATTACAGTTAAAATATTTCACTTTGTTTAGAATATTGCGGTAACTATTGTGAATGTAGCTCTGCGTTCGGCAAAATATACATCATGATATTCAGCATCATGCTATCCTATTGTGCAATTGTTATATACATTGAAAAAATTATGAATCTGGGGCTGAAGCTGGTGCAAATTGCACTATTGTTCCCAAGTTGGATCTTGGTATTATTTACTAAGGGACCGCTCATTATTTATTGTACAGGGGGGGACTGAGGAGAAACTCTACAGTTGTAATATTTTTTCGTTGCCCCCCTCTTAAGACAAGTAAAATTTTCAAAGCCCCCCCCCCCAACAGGCAAAACAAGAACATACACTTTGCCCCCTCTAGCTCTTTATCTTTATTTAGAGAAACAAAAACTCTAGCTGTTTATTTTAGAGAAAGAAAAATAGGTAATGGGGACCAATAGACATTCCCATTATAGACTAATTTTTTATCTTAGCAAAAAAAGTATATTCCCGGGAAGGGCATACTAAAATTAGTAAAATTCCAAAGTTTGGTTGCAAAATGTTGTAAAATATGTAGAAAATATAGCCTTCCAAAGTTTGCAAATTTTGTATTCTTTTATATAATTGCAATTTTCGCATGCAATACAAAAGTGTACAAAATTTGCAAACTTTGCAAAGCTATATTTTCCGTATTTTGCAACAATTCGCAACCAAATTTTGCAATAATTTACTTATTTTAGTATGCTCTTTCTAGCTGTGGTGATTTATTTGCATCAAGGCCGGATTTTCAGGGAAGTGTGGAGAGGTGCGCACCTCCCCAGAGATCGTTTTGCACCTCCCCTGAGAATTTTTCCACCTCTCTTGAAAGGTCATGCACTTCCCCTTGGGAAAGTTTCAATGATGGAACAAAGTGAAAATGTGATGGTTGCTTAGGATCTACACTTTGTGACGTAAGAAAGTTTTCTCTGTAAAATTGAAACAGTGATAGCCATGTCAAGCACCCTTTTAATGCAATGTTTTGAAAGAAACAGTGTAGCAATTGTAATGAAGGGCAAAATTGGAGTCATACATTCATAATTCATTAATACACTGGTACATATGTACACTACATGCATACCTCACCTTGTTGATATTGGCCTGTTCTACAATAAGCCCTAACTTTCCATGGGAGTTGTGAGCTAGACCGCTGCACCTCTCCTAAAATTTTTGTCCACCTCCCCCACTATTTTCACCAAAATTCGGCCTTGATTTGCATCTCTTTGCCTAGTTCTAAAATTAGTCTATAATAGGAATTGTCTATTTACATGAACATAAGAGACTTGGCTTCCATTTATGAATATTAGGTCTATATTATTTGTTGTTAAGTTGTTTTGTGATACATTTTTAAAACTACTAATGTTTTTTTCAAACTGGTAAATATTTTCAAAGCCCCC